TATGGGGATTTATCACTGCTGTCTATGGGAATTTATTTGTAGTGGTGCACCCCGCATAGTCGCGTAGTGCCATCGTGCCGTCGCATCTTCGAGTGGTTCATGGTTTTAGCTACTGCTTACCCTGTTATCCTCAAATGTCTATATTACAGGCTCCAGATCAAGCTTGCGTGATACACCAGGAAGTCCGAAAAGTCTTGACAATGCTCTATTTTTCTCACCTCAAAAAGTTGGGGAATGATTCAATAGACCTAGTCCCTTCCCAAAGGTGTGTGAGTGATTATATACCACCCACCCCTTCCCCCGGAATTTTCAAGTGTCTTGTGAGGGTGGCAAGAGCGTACGAATGTTTCCTGGAGCTGCAGTCACAGAGGAATGGCGTGGACTCTCCGGCAACAAGACCTTTATACCTTCACTTATCCACCTCAAGCAGAAGCAGCCCCTCATCGGTTGAAATGAACCACTGTTGGTCGGGAGTGTTCATTTTGTTGGTAGCAATGCAACCGTATCGCATGCATTTCATAGTCGGTCGTGAACCAGCGAAGTTCATTTCCGATCAAATGGGCCTCAATAGCTAAAAAAAAAAAAATGCGCCCTCTGTTGGCCCAGCTCGAAGCTCTTGGGCAATATCCGAAACTGGCTTCCTGAGCTATACGGCTACGGGCTGAAGCTAAAAGGTCAACTGTTTTGAAAATGAAGTATATGAGATTAAATTCATGCAAAATATTGTCACCATTTTACAGTGGCGTATGCAGCTTTTGGAGTGTGTGTGTGGGGGGAGTTAAAAAGCAAATGCACTTTCGGGTTCATCCAACATGATAATGGGGGAAAAATAATAAAACCTATTTTTTTTAATATAAATAAGTGTACGGATTAGTTTCTTTCCTACTCACCTATGAAGTATTCTCAGTTGAAAAAAAATGAAAAAAGTAAGGGGGCGAGAGTTGCCCCCCGCCCGATACGACTCTGCCTTTTTGCCACAACTAAATTGATAGCATAAAGTGACTAACTAACTATTAAAAAACCGCGCCCATTCTACAATTCTTCCGCAATGCTACCATCGAGGGCGATTCGCGGTCCTTGGTGGATGTGACGTCATGGCGTATAGTCCTAACCGCTGTTAGTCTTGGGTCCAAGACTGATTCACCGTGAAAGCGCTCTGTTTTGAGGCCTACCGGTACTAGTCGCAAAAAGAGTCCTGGTTATTCGCTTGTTTGCTTGCAAATTCTGAGCGAATCTTAGCATTTTTACTCCGAACAAAAAGGCGTGCCAGGATAACGTATGAGGTTGAGGAAAGCCTTCCTCTATTATTTTTCAGTTGGGAGAAATACCCACTTCTCCCGCCCCCTGCTCCGCCAATGACCCCAAAGCATGTAAAAGCCCCCCAAGTGTAGACGTATCCCCAGAGAAACCATAAAATGTAAAATAAAGAAATTTAAACAAATGCTGCCTCCAAGAAATTGGACCCCCAGCCCTCCAATGTTTTTCTTGATCCGCCCTTGGGCATTTCAGCGTATTTGCAACAGACTACCATGAACAGTAGTCCAAGATCTTTGGATTTGCGTAGAAAAAAGAAGATCTAAACCTCATACAGAAGTCAACAGCATATTATCCGTTTGAAGTAATGCATGTGGCGATGGGTTCAAGTACTCTAAACGATTCAACAGATTTTACACAATTTGGCCCTAATTATACTTTTGTCCATAACTGTAACCCATCCGTTGCTCGGAGTATTACATTCCTAATTGAATTAATTTTTACATGCATATGGTTTGGTAAAAACAATATTTTTTATTTAATTTGTGTCATTCGCAGTCACTATCAAAATGCAAAGTTATTCCATGCAAAAAGCACCCCATGTATTTTAATTTTGTCATCAAAAATTGCAACATGGATTAAAACAAATCGCTACTATTCGTTGTAGTTTATTCTTCTGAATTCATTATCATCAAAATAAAAAGTTAAATTCCTCTTGATTATAACAAAATTATGACATATAAATACATGCAATTTGTTTTTCTATTCAGAAAGGTATAAACATAATTTTGATCGCTATACTGACCTTTCTTGATCACTAAGCGCCTGCTACATGCTTGGTTTTATGACCATGAAACGTTGAAACGGTTTGATACAGCGACCGAACCACAAAATGTTAGTGGGTGAATATTAATCTCCTAACTGGTCAATGCCACGGACAAATTGCTCAGGTTAAGGACACGGTTTGGAAGATTTTCAAAGGACTGATGGAAACTTGGGGGAGGCCAAATAGAAATTATTTTATGAAATGTGTGGCATTTCTGAAGGGTGAGGCTACATTTTGTGGATTTTTGCACGCTTTTTGAAGGAAGGGAAATGAAATACACCCCAAAAAATTATCTTTCTAATTACCCCCCTCCCCCAAGTCTGTTTGGCTCCCTTTTAGTGGCCAGGGTGCCCGTTCCCCCCCCACCCTGCAGTCCACCCTTTTCACAAACTTAACATTGATTTTTTTCTTTATTACAGACGGCAGTGTTTATAGTTTATAATTCTCGCCAAGCCGTCAAGTCAGGTTCGAGCGCGAACGCTGCTGCTTTAGTGTAAGATGAAAACGCCTCAGGGAACAATTCATGCCTGACGACAAAAGGGACAGTGCCTTGTATATTTACCGCATGTGCCTTGGAGTCTGCAGAGTTTTACAGATTACAAACCAATGCTTCCAGTTTTAAAAAGTAGGCAGACGTTTTGTGATGCGACCGCATAAAGGACCAGTTAACAAGTTCCCTCAGCTGTCAAACATAGGTTCATTAAACAAAGGGGAATTTGGTGCAACTAATGTAAAGTACATTTTGTATTCATGAAAAAAGATCTGTGATGTGTTTTTGATGGAAGAGGGTACATGTACTGCGAACCCGTGTACCTGTTCCAGCCAAGCGTAGGAACATTGGCGGACTCAGGAGGTGTGGGGGAAGCAATTGGAATGGAATTGGACCCCAAAATTGGCCACTGCACAGGGGGCAAGGATTTAAGACTAAATCAGAGATACATGTAGTTGTTTACATAAAGATGTAGATGCACAGCTTAACCTCCTTTTCATGTTTCATGTTTTATGGAACTGGAAGTAGCTCCCAATTTTACAAGAAATGGGACCAATTAGTCATATAAGGCCAAGGCTAGCAGGTTTTTAATATTATTGAAATTTAAAACTGTACTTATTTTATAAATTGTTAGCATTAATGTTTAAAAAGACACGGTGAACAATAAAGGAGAATTCCAGAAAAAAAAAAGAAAGAAAGATGTGTATTTCTTTTTTTAAACATATGCTTTCCTGTTTATTTATACCTTTAAATGTAATAGAATTAATATAAGTGTAAACATACGCAAGGCGATGTCCGGTGAATTGTCGAAGTGATAGTTTAATTGCAATGAAGCGTAATATGGTAATTTTAGCTAAAGTAGACCTATTGCTTTACACAGTGTCAAGGTTTAGGAGTAAAACTTCCCTGGGCAAAATATCCGCTAAAAATTCTACCTGTACTTTTTTAATTGAAAGAACAAAAATTATGACCCTCTATTACAATGACAAATTATAGGAACTCTCCAATCTGTAAATGTAATCAGGTTCGGTGTGCGCCAAATATCACTTAGAGCACCCGTGTTAAATGACCAATGAAAAATGATCTTGTTTTATCTCGCCTGATGTAGTTTTACTTTTTGATACACGATTGGTCGGTAGTCCTGTAGACTCTTAAAAGCTCATCCAATGAAATGTGTTCTTTACTTGAAATCATGATGTAACTCTTATGCTCGAACTTCCATTGGGTGATTGTACTGGTTCATTTTCTTACAGTTCCCCGTGCAAGTGAATTTATAGAGCAGTTGTGTTGCCGTTTCACCGATGCACGTGTGTCAATAAACTCAGACTGGTTCATATTTGACTCTGACGGAAGTGATCATAGTTTGCAGCATGATCAGGTGAATTTTTCCCCGATGAAATATAATGCATAAACAGTTTTTGGCGATTAGACATTGTTTCGAACACTCTCTTGCTATCAGTTTGTAAAACGTGTGAATATTATCACGTTAGGGTATTAAATACTGTTCAGTTATTGAGCATTGGCGTTCAGGAAATGGCCACGTAATGTTTAGCTTCTAATGTTTGTAAAACTGGCCTAACAGTTGGGGAATAACCATTCCTTCAAGCTTTACTTTTTTTAATATGGCAGTTCTGTGAGGTCCTTGAAGTGAATTACGTTTTCATTTTTGTAATTTGGAAAGTATCTGAGAATCAAAAACTGTGTTGCACATGCAGATCGCGAGAAAAAAGTTAGCAAAACGAAATAAAATTCAATCGGCCAGTATGCAAGCAAATAAGTGGATAGAGAACCCCTGTTGGCATAAAGGGGCAGACAATAAACACCTATCATTTGTCGAGTTCCGAAAAACTGCTTAACCATTTCTCTTTTAGGCTTTTGTTTGTTGTGTTCTTGGCTTCTCTTGTTGCCTGTACGGTGTTGGATGAGGATTTGGGAGGTCTAGACTTGGAAAATCTCCTGCCTAGGGATGATGAAAATGTGGCGGCCTACTCCAACGGTATGGCCTATTTCAATTATAGATTTCCCACTAGCAACTAATTGTACGTGTATCAAACATGCCGGTCCAGACAACAGTTAAAATCATGAAAACTGTAAACATCATTTTCGAATGAAATGCATCCAGCGACAAATAATCACAGGTTAGAATCTTAATTTTTTTCAATTGGGGTGGAGGTTGCTGATAACAATGTTGCGGTGCATTGAAAGAACGTGCATCAGAGTTAATGTTTGTTCATGCCGATCTTGTTGGTAGAGTTTTTCTCCTAAATTCAAATTACTGTAGAGAAAATCAACAAGAAGTTGGCATGTAAGTGCCCAAACCCCGCTCTTTAAATTCAATACTAAAGTTCCATTTGCTTGATGAAGTCTGGCATGAATTTCCGTTTCAACCAGATCGTAATCCAGACAGTTTGTTGAGCGAATTCAACGGCGGCTGCAGTCGACCATCGGCTGACGAAGACAAAGGTAGGGTTCACGGAAAGTGTGTGTATTAAATCGTCACATCATCCCCACACCTATTTCATGTAATGGTTTACCCCAGGGGTCTTTAGTCTCTCCCATGGGACAGGATTGGTTGAGTCGACAGTCAGTCTGTCCCCTACCTTAAAATTTTTGGGAATTTTCCCAACTTTTCCAACATGTTCAACAGTTGTTCTAAACTGATCGACGATAGGTTTCAAAGTTACTGATATAGTACTCATTCAAGCACTTTGTTTTCTATGTTCAGGACGAAACCCCGATGTTTTCTTGGGTCAGTTCAACAGTGCCAAACGATCGCCTGAAAACAAGAGAAATCTAGAAATGTACCTAAGAAAGCTCGAGGAAACGGATCAACCTCTTACCAAGATGTAAGTAATAAAGTGAAATGGAAAACATGAGCATTATCCTCATGCACAATGCAATACGTTTCGAACACTAGTATGACGCGCTTATAAATACATGTAAAAATATGATGTGTACATGTACATTCTGGATATACCTTTTACTTCATAAGCGCCGCTGCTTATACACAAACACTTGTTTAAAATGTTCAGTTTTAAACGCTTTATCACTGTGAACGTGGTCATGTGTTTGACAAGTTGGACATGATTTTACCAAATATAGCGTTTAACACCCAATATGCAGGTTACAAGCTTCAAAATTAATATCTTGTGACAAAATAATAAAGTTTTAATTCACTGATCGCATATTCCTTACAACGTATGTTCAAATACTCTCACAATAAAGATTTTGGACGCATTCGGCTGATCTATGCGATTACTCGAGTCTTGGTCGGTTAGTCGAACTTTAAATGCACAATATCAGTGTCAATAATCCCTCATCAGCCAGTTGCATTTAATCTCTACACGATCGACCACAGGATCGACCGATCACGCAGGCTGGTCGGGTGATCGTGTCCCCAAACGACAGTGTGGTCCAGCCGAAGGCATGTAAAGGCGTCTCAAACAGCCGCCAAATGACCTTATTCTGTCCGTGGAACAGAGCCAGATATCGAAAGTGTTTATTTTACGGTGAGGGTAGAGGGGACCGGAGAACCTGCCTCGCTTGGCACAGCAGAGAACCTGCAAACAACCCTATTCACAGATATGGCCAAAGTTCAGGAATCGAATCCGAGCCACAGCTGCGGGAGGCAAGTGCTTCATGCACTCGACTCGCCGCCTGCGTCACCCAAGCATCAAGCATTAAGAAAAACCGTCAAAATAAAAAAAAGGTGTTTCTTTAAAACTCAGAAAGAAAGGGACAAACGTATGCGACTTGAAATTCCCCGAGAGACGTCTTCGGCGATGCGGCTTCCGCTCACAGTGGGCATTGTAAGACATGTTGCAAAGGGACAGTGTGTCGAGATAATAATTACTGAATATGAAATCTCAACTATTGCAGGCTCTCGGCCAAAGATTTAGAGCAACGCATCCTGCAGATCAGGGAGGCCCTCGGCGAACGGCAAGCGTGCGATTCAGCCAGCCCAGGGTATCGCACGATTGACGGTACATGTAACAACATCGGCAAGCGAGAGCAAGGTTCGGCCGGTGCTACGATGAAACGGTTGATGGACAATGCTTATGATGATGGTAAGTTCTACTGGAACACTAGTCTTGGTCCAAGACGTCAGTGATCGATAGTTGTTTTTATTTCTATTGAAGAGCGCCCTCACACAACTAGTTTTTACTTACTCTCACTGTGCACAGTCTAATTATGAGTCGTTGGGGGCGCACTACGCACGGTGTCGGACAAAGTAATATAGAACATGAGGGACTTTACCTGAAAGAGGGATATTTGCCACAGGTCTTTTGAGTTGCTGTAGTTTGCATTCTTGGTAGTAACGCTCCCACCAACAACATGTGTAGGGCCTGAAGAAACATCCATTCAAGGCCCGTAATTAGCTTTAAAACCATGTACATTTGTATTCACGAGAATCTCACAAATATATGTACTTTATGTTTGGGATCCACTAAAGAATTAGGTATGTTCTACTACTTTAACCTAAATCTGAGCACGCTTTATTGGCAGACTTTCTATTTGCACATCGCATGCGTTATTGACTTTTAAAATGACCGACTCTGCTTGGAGAGTTTTGGAACTGAAAATTATGAGTGGCTTCTGTTGTAATTCAATTACTTTTAAATTTAACCTGTACTACATAAGTCATGTTTGAAGATATAAATCCATTATTGAAACTACAGCTTTGGGATAGGGCAATCAATTTGATGATTTCATTCAATTTGGATACACACGGGGGCCCATTACATTATTCGTGCAAAGTGGCATCCATTATGTGATCTGAATGTGATCTGCTATGTAATTTTTCATGAATTATTGCCTGTGGCATCTTTCATTCATTGTCACGTTACACATGAACATATCAACACAACACATACCTTTGACATCCTAGAAAATAAACCTAATTACTTTCAGCCTCATTGTAGTTTAGTTCTGTTGGCTTTGGCCTGTCATGACAGCCCTTTTAGTTAAGGTCACGTGACAAAGGACGGCATAAAGTAGTTGTCGTCTATTACTAGAGCATATCCCAGTCTATGAACTAACATTTCAATCTGATCACAACTGTACTTCTGCAGACAAGAACATCTGAAAAATACACCTTTAACAGACACAGTATTTTTATCTGTAACTCATGCATTCTATTTCAGCAATCTGATGATTGATTCCAGCCGTTTTGATTATCATCAAATCTTGCCTAATATGGTAATCAGAAAATCGCAGTTTTATGGCGTCATCATGACGTCTAAGCACTTTCAAAAGAACGGTCACTTGTATTTGAATCATCAAACATCAGCAAAAGAATTATGAAAGGATTTGTTTTGATCAGGAGATGCATTCAAAAGATTGTTTAAAAAAATTATATGATTGTATGGCCTTTGTTTTTGTCCAGTTGCACGTTAAAACATTGTACCGTCTTAATTAAAAAAGAGCCGCAGGGAGTTATCGTCGAAAGAACACCGCTATGGAGAAAGAAGTCATATAAAACCAAGCTGTGCTATGGGTGGCTGGCTAAATAAAAAGGAAAATGCATAAAAATGGAGTGACAACTGGAAAGCAGCGAATAAATTCCAATCCAACGTTTCAAAGGATTACTTGGTTACTGTAAACCTTAAATCACATGGGCAAACTTTTTTTTTATTGTTTAGCAGGTAATTTGCATTGCATAATTAATCATGCTTGGAAAAAAAAGAATGTGTCCCAAACTTTCAAAATCTTACGTCAGATGTGACGGGGTCACGAAAATAAAGTTAAAGGTGACGGCAACCCGTGACCACTGTTAAAAATGAGATTAGGCCTGTACTTTAAAAGGCTTGAGGGGAATTTTCTTACTTCATGGATAGCAAAATATGTTATTTTAATTCAAGTTTGTTAGCCTGTTTTCAAGATGTATTTTTGCGTTTGGGAGATGTTAATCTATATAACAGGTTTTGCCCTTACCCAACGTACATATGTACGTTGGGTTTAGGGCAAACCCTGTTATATGAGTTTGTTAGCCGTTAAAAAGAAATGGACATTGACGTGACTGGAGTTATGTGAGAATTTATTTCTCTTACCGTCTTCAGGACTGTCTCAGCCGCGCACGACATCTGTGAACGGGGGCCCATTACCGAGCCCCAGGAAAGTCAGCCTAGCAGTCTTTAATAACGCCCGCACCATGGTCAAAAATTTCACCCAGGTGGGAATGCACTTAGCACAGCTGGCCAATCACGACATCGCCGGAAGTCGCACCTGAAAAGGTGACTAACAGGTCGCACCCAAATCTGCGGCTGTGGCTTGAACTTACGCACGGCTTTATGGGAACTGGCCCGGCCACTACCGTGGGCTCGTGCGTAACTTCCAGCCACAGCCAAGCTATTCGGACAAATTCCTTGAGAACACATAGAGGGATCCCAATACGACGCTTTTAGCGTCGATCTGCGCACTACCGCATTTGAAAACGAGGCTGTATGTGTCAGACGATTGAAAGTAAGGAGTCAAGACACAAATACATAAAAGTATGTTAAATTCAGACTTTTCAGGCAGCAAATTTTTGTGGAAGAGTCTTTCAGGACGACTCGACACGTAAAATCAAAAGAAAAATAACAGTTGACTTCGAACTAACGTACCTGCAATGGTCGTGTATCTTGTGCAGTGGGCGTGGTTAAAACTGAAGTGGTGTCACACTTACAAACGTGATATGCATGTACTGTGTCGGCTCCGTGGGCGCGCGAGATGAAGTTCAACACAAAGAGCCTCGGTTTCGATGCGGATATGCGCAGACAGCGCTAACGTGAAATTCCTCTATTGCATAATGTTATATACATCTAGCCGCCCATGTTATTGATGACCTGTGCGCGTGGTGTGGTTGTGTGCACATGCATCGTAGCCTTGCAGAGAGCGAGCGATCAAACATGTGCAGAGAAGGGTGAGATAGGTGGGTCTACAGTCTGTTGCTGTGAGTCAGTCCAAGGGGAACAACCACCGCATGTTCTCTCCGAATTTTCTAATTATGTCCCACTTTTAAGGGGGCCACAGGATGAATTTCGTAGATACCCTTTACATCTCTGGACCCTTCTTCAGTGTCTGAAAAACTATGCGACATCCTTTTGGGGTTAATTGTATTAAAATGAATATTTCAAGCTAATTCTGCCTAATGACGGCACTGTTGCCGTGATGTCAGAATGGAAAACCATAGAGGAAGGAAACAGAGCTCAATTT